CCAATTTATTATGCGTTTAAAAAAAGAAAATGTCATTTGAAGACCTATTGTCATTTCAAAACGTAAGAATCTCTTTTGAGAAAAAGAATCGTTATAAAACACTTCTTACCTTGTCGACAATATACCAACTTCGAAGCTTAAATGATAATTTGCAAAATGAACTGAATTTCGCTGCTAGAACATTATGTTAACACTAACGTATGATGGTGCATGGTTTGGAACAGGAACAAACAGTAATAAACGAGTAAAAAGGGGCCAAATCAAGACTGCCAAAGACGTGAACTCTTTTTAAATCTAGCAACCACGTCACCTTTTTAACAATACGTGCATTAATATCTAAGAAAAATTTCACTTCAAACTGATCAAAATTACTTAATATCGTTAATATCTTATGAAATGCTGCTGATTTGAGCTTAGAAATTTTATAATCTATTTCTTTTATTAACTTTTTGCTTACGGTAGGTACAGCATGTGGACCACACGTGATGGTACAATGTGGAACACCATAAGCAAAGGGTTAAAAACAAAATTATCTGTTCGAAAATAACGCCTTGCAGAATAAGCTGCTATAAGCAGTTGTATACTTTCCAACCGAAAGTAAAGCAGGTCAAGAACTCGAGATTGTTGTTGTGTACATTTATTTCGAAAACACTATCCATTTGAAAATCAAGATAGAAACTAACAGGCTTCCTCCTTCTAAGACTCTCCACATGTTAATGCTGAAAGCATGTAAAGTGTTGCCATTGGTAGAGAGTACTGCTCTACGCCACTTCTAGTCCATTTCAATCGCCAATTACCGATCGAAATGGACTACAGGTGGAACGGTAACATTTCTCATTCTTTCACCTATGACAACACTTCTCAGGCTCTCACCATTAACGAACGGAGAATCGCAAATAGATTAAGAAATTTTAAGTCAGGAAACAATATGGAACTGAAAACTACATTAAACATAGCTCTAAAAAAAGCATCATGGAAATTTGAAACAAAAATATTTTTAACAATTAAATACGGTAAATATTAAGAAAGGAGAAAATATCGCAGTACATTTCTCAACAACCGAAAAGAGGAGGAGAGGAATGGGGGAAGGATGAAAGACATGGAACCGAGTTTCTCCCCAGATAGCGTTTTCGAGTGATGCGATCGCCTTTAGAGATCGATGGTGAAAATAAGACTCAAGTTCCTGTTTCAAAGTCTTCAAAAGCTGTAAGCTCGCACAACGGCAATTACTAAATCACTGAAAATAAATTATATACCTATTTCCAATTCCGATTGTTAGCGAATTTAAACTGTTACAGGGACTAATATAGGGGATAAGGACATTTAACTTTCCCCGGGGGGGTTCAGAAAAGCAACACGCTTTTGACAGACCGGTTTTACGCACAAAAAGTGGCGTTCGCGTCGTCGTAGTGATTATTTTCTGACATCTCCGCCGTACCTTTGCATTGCGCGTAATCAGTGTTGATCATTAAAAAGCAATTTAATTTAAATTCTAAAACTTTTTCATTTCCGTAAACCAGTATATTATTTTGTATATTGCTTAAAGATGTCTATTCATTACTCATAATTTATTTGTTTGTTTATTGAAGCTTTAAAAGCAGAGATCATTCAGATTACGAGCAATTATATACTATAGTTTCGGTTTTGTTTAGTTTTGGTTTTCAGAACTTAGATTAATTAAAACCGAAGGAAGGATATTTACTTATCCAACCATAGTTATTAGTTTGAAGCGTCTGGTTCTATTATAACTGAAGTATAGATGCTTATATTAGCATTTTTTTATATTTAAAAATATGATTTAACAGAAGGAGTTCGAAACTAAAATCCTTTGAATTTTATAAGTTTACTATTATTGTTTTAAAATCGTAATAATTAAAAATGCACATCAATGACACATTTTTTTAAAGCCATGCAACCGTAAATTTGTTAAATTTTCCGATGAGAATTAAAAATAAAAATCTTTTTCATGAAAATAATTATTCGTAGTATTTATTATGAACTCGATTGTATTATC